CGTACCAATAAAACTAGACAAAATAACAAAATTACTAAAACTAGAAAATTTGTATGTACTACCCTATAAATACTAATAAACCTCCATACCAAATTTGGTGAAGATCCATCTACAGGGGCGAAGTAGTAGGTAAAAGGCATAAACGCAAAAACGCCCATAAAAACCGCAAAACACAAAATGCAAAACTGAAAATTAAACTTAAACCTAATGGACCTTCACACTAATTTTGGTGAAGATCCATTCACACCCTGCGAAGTAGTTACATAGACAGACAACAGACAGGTGTATACATCAACTTAACAAAATGAATATGAAGGCTTGGATATATCTAATTCGCTTAAATCTAGCTATGTAACTGTAAATTACAAAGTCATTAAATGTCGTATAAATATACACCTGCAAATAACACCATTGTGATTTCTTACACGTTTAGTGAACTTTCTAAAACTTTTATTAATGGATTTGATTTGTCAAGAAAGTTGTTTCACTTACATAAGTGAAAGCGAAAAATATTACTTTATTAATTCACCAACAAAGAATGTCACTGAAGCCTAAATTAAAGACATACTTAGTCTTATCGCTTGATTGGTTTACGAAGCTCGTTCAAATATTGAACAAAAATCCAAACTAAAAACAGTAGTAAAAATCATGAATTAATAATAAGATAGAAAAACACCTCTACAGATTTTCTACTTAGCTCAAACCGATTCTATAGCATTTTTACAGTGGTATATCTGTTCAATCTAGTCCTCAATCGACGAAGAACTTATTTTTATAGAAAGGAATTTACATAAATACATGCTTGGCGAGTGCTTTTTCGTTTAACATTTTAATAACTGTAGAAAATTCGTACTTCGTACTTTGAATCCATGTTAAATAGGTTAGTGTATTGCAAACACGGCTTCCATAATCCAGAATTATTTCAGTAAGGAAATTATTCGTTTGCGTTATTTTTCTATTTGTATTTATATATTCGATTGATGTTGTTTTGAGTATTAGAGAATGTGTTTTGATACTTTCATTGCTTTGACATTCGAACTGACAACGTGTATTCTAATACTGAATATCTCCACAAAGTCTATTATTGTCAGAAAAGAACGAAACGTATAAAAACAAACGATTTATTAAAAATACTTCTCTCTTTTACGCGGGTCAGCTGGGAAGGGAGATTAACGCAGCTGCGCAATTGTTAGCTTTTGTAGCAGGTGTCAACTTCCCATTTGCGAAAAATACGCTTATTGGAATTGGTGCCAAAAAAAAACTAGTATCGTTTTCTGTTAACATGTAGCATATGAGATGTTATATCAGAAAATAGTAAAAAGGTATCAACTAAAATACGATAGCAGCACATTATAAAGAAGAGATTACTATTGGTTTAAATATTCTCTATCAATTTCGTTACGATTTAGTATCTAAATTTACTTAAAAGCGTTATTGTTTTAGGCTTACTTCATAAAAGAGATCCAAGCGGAAGCTACGCTCCAATAATTGCTACATAACTTCAAAATTTCAGGTATAGCTTTTCTCAAGTGGTGGTAATTTACATTGTGAATATGAAGCCTACTTGAGTAATTTAGTAAAATCCGGTATAAAGCGGACTGTAAATGTTTTTTTTTAAAGGAAATGTAAGTTTGAGAGCCATATTTGAACTTGAAAGGGACATTAGGTTTTGTCAGACATGCTCGTTGGCAGCATATTTTATTTGTACTCATCAATAGTAAACATTTTCCACTTCCTATTACGTGTTTCAGCGCCTGATGATTAGCTGAGTACTGAAAGCATTAAAATATTTAAAATATGATATTTTTTTGTTTTTCACCTGTTACATATTCGAATATAAAATAGATACGACTTTTGAATGTCTTTTGTTTGGATTAAGTATTTTGATATCGAAGTGAATATAGCTTCAATATATGAAACTTGAATTTATTGATAACTTGTTTTAGAGCAAAACTACATAATGGACTATCCGCGCGCTGTCCCCCGCGGGGAATCGAAGCGTTTGAGTCTGCAAACTTACTGCTGATCCATCAGGGGATAATTATTAATAAAAGGAGTTAACTTCATACTTCCATAAATATTAGTTTGACTGTGTTTATTCTCTTTTTAGTAGAATAGCAGTTTTTTATAGCAAAAATCTACATACAAAATAGACTAGCTGCGTTGTGTTCACTACGGGGATCGAACTGCGAACCCTGAAGCATATCGCTGAGCTTCCAGGCAGGTGAGAGTGAAATAACAGTACTTCTTTAAGAAACATTTATGCATTGCAGCAATATGCAAAAACACTTTAGTGGTTGTATTAAATACTTAGCATACAGAAGTATTGTCTTATTAATATAATGTAGACACGCCTTTAAAATTGTCAGGGCATACTCACACTACAGACAGCATTTTGGTCTAGTCCAATTGTATATATTTTTAAATAACCTACCTGAATCTATAGTAAAAAAATGTATAATTCTGTGGCATTGTATTATATGTAACAAAAATACCTAAAAAACTATTTTTCAGAAAAGTCATTCTGTTAGTGATTTCACGTGGCACAGCTGTATGTCTGCGGACTTACAACGCTAGAAACCTGGTTTCAATACCGTGGTGGGCAGAGAAGAAATAGCCCATTGTGTAGCTTTGTGCTTAACTACTACCAAACAACCTTAAATCCTTTATTTTAAATTAAATTCAATACTTATAAGCCAGCTGCAGACAGAGAAATTAAAGGTTTATTTTGTTATTGAGGGAAGATTCTACTTTTAATAAAATGTAATTACTGTGGATATCAGATATAATCGTCGTTATTAAGGACACATACAGATATTCATTCGTTACTGAACTGTTAGTCAGCTTCTTTTATATCAGTTCGTTACATTTTTAAAATGATATTTAATATGTGTTTTCAACTGTTTATCCAGTTGCTATCATTTTGTTTTGATTAACGTTAATAACAGCCTTACAGTAGTTAATATTATTATTTTGTTCTTTTAGATTTCACGTCACAACATATTGCCAGGTGGTAATACTTTATTTTATGAGAATTTTCAGCATACTTGTTCCGTTGAAATTAAATATAAATGCCAACTATTGAATATCAGATTTGTAGTGTATCCTGTAGTTTCTTATGCAAGCTCCCGCAGCTAAATTAATTTTGTTCGAAACTTGGATGGCTAAGGGACAAAATTGAAGATGATCTTGTGACAGATTTATTATTATATATTTCTTTTAATATCAATGTTTGTTTAAGTTAAATTTATATTTAGAAATGTACACAACTTATACAGTTAAATGAATTGCTCGAAATTGCCAAACTTTTAGAACTAGAAGTTAAAAGATCAATGAGAAAAAATAAACTAAAAACGTATTATCGAAATTTGTTGCCTGAGGAAGCATTAGAGGAATACTCTAATTTCCCCACTAGCCAATCGGGGTTGAGTGATAAAGATAAGTTAGAGATCCAGCTAAAACTGAAACAACTCGAGCTTGAACAAGCTCTTTGTGAAGCTGAAAATGAAAATAAACGTATCGAAGCCAAAAAAGCCCGCATTGAAGCCGAAAAAGAAATTAGGCTGAAAGAAATGGAAATCAGACTGAACTCCGATCGACCAAGGCAAAATGACAGCTTTGAGCTTAATCGATATGTTAAACTGCCACCATTTAATGAAAATGAAGTTGATACATTTTTCCAAAATTTTGAGATGGTTGCTCAAACCATGGA